TATCGTCGGTCACCAACGATACTACATATTTTCAGACAAGACAACTTAGTGGCCAACAGTATGGTCTGGACTACAATTTACAGAATCACTCGAAATATGAAGAAAAAATTGCAGACCGATCAAGAACACTATTCGAGTAAGTTCCATAATATAATTTTGTTTTAATATGTAAATATTTTATAGTATTCTTATTAGTTGTTACTGATAAATAAAAATACCTAATTTATGGATAAATGTAAAAAATAATGAAATGATATATTTACAGTTTTCCGTATAATTAATTTGATCAAATTCGTCTTCACGTGATATTGAATATAATTATTAAACTGTATTTTCTTAGTTGGAATAGTCCAAGAGTTTTATCCAAAGAAGAAATAAAAGTTCAGTCGAAAAGAATTGATGCAAATTTAGAAACTGAGAGAGTTGAGAACAATGTTTGGTGGCCGTGGAAAAACTATGACGATTGGTTGAACGGTAGGGGATTAAAATCAGAGCCAAAAAAACCTGAAAAGAAAATTCGAAAGGAAAAAAAACACAAAAAAAAGAACAGGAAAAATGAAAAAAAAAAGAAGAAGTCGAGACCTGGTAAAAAACTAAACGCCACAGTCGAAATCAGTAATCAATTTTCAGGTAATTCCGAAGACAACGAAATCGTAAAAAAAGAATCGATACCCGAAATACTTTACAAAGCATCACCAATTGATATAATTTTAAGAAATTCTTCCTTAGTTCCAACCTTGGTGAAATATACATCAAGAAATTATACTTATGGTAAGTTTGCATTCGTTAAATAAATTACATGATATCATGATGGAAAACAATTCATAATCAATATGCATCATTAAGTATAACGTACCTATATTACATTTAATTTTTAATTCAATTTGTATTTCCAATAATACATTATAAATTCAATAAATAAGTAATTCAATTATGTTCTTAACACATTAATTAATTTTGGGTTTAACAAATACTATTTTTATACGTTGTTTTATACGATTAAAGAATTGATTTTTCATTTCATCCATTATGGATATGATGTAAAAGCTACAAACATTTCATATTCATTTAAAATAAATGAAAATGGAATTACTGGAATATATTGTTAGTTAACCGTTATATAGCTATACAAATTGTTTATAAAGGAAACATTTGACCAATATTTTAATAATTTTTGACCCGTTTATGATTAAAAAACATATAGATAACATTTCAAACTATATAGTCTGTAATACTATTAATATCGAAGTTATTACAATATAAATTAAAATTTAATATCACCGATAAACGACGCCAATCATGCTAAAATAATATATGCAATAACAATAAGATATTTTATAATATACTCGGTGATTTGCTAGATCTGAGCTATGACAATTATTATGGTGTTACCACGTACCTACCTATATTTCATGATTAACAGATAAATTCGACCTTTATTATACGTAGGTACGTATATTATCATTATTTTCTTTCAAATATTCAGTACCTACATGCTACTAATAATTAAAAATCGTTTTACTAAAGTAAATTGTTATCCAATACATCAACTGTTTTGACTAATTATTGTGTTTGTATTTACGAACCAAACCATAGCATAAATATAAATATTAAAAATTTATATATTTTTGGTTATAACTTGTTTTTGAAACGACATGTCGGTATTGCGAGAATTTGTTAAGACGAAATACTGATCTAACAATCTGAATGATTTCATGGTCGGCATATTTCATAATAATAATATATTATTAATTATTATATACAATCTAGTTACAGGTATAATACAATTACAAACAACAACTAATAACTAATAAAAAACGATAAATGATAAAAATTTAAATTTATATTAATATACTAAATCAACCACTTTTTAAATAACAACTATTATTTACCGAAATGTTACAAGAACATAAGACGCATATCGCATATGACTACCAAACTACGTATAATGTATCAATAATTTAGTATCGGTTTGGCCGTGGTCCGCAATATACCCAAACACGGTCAAGGCCTTCATCAGACACTCTAATAAATGTTTTCAAGTCCCTATTGTAATTATATTTTAAATTAAATTTTTTTTAATACACGCGTTCTGATAAAACTACTCATGATCTTAGTTTCAGAGACTACGACATTGTTTTGCGCCTTACTCGTTTCATATAGATAACTTATTAAACGTGTATTAAATTTAATTTCGTTGGATTTTATAAATAAACAATCCATTTATGCTCCAGCGGTGCGTAGTTAACCGTCTATCGGGTGTGTAGTAATAATATTGTCTAACCTTTATTTTCTTAATGTTTCGTGCAGATGTAAACGAATGCTTGACAAATAACGGAGGTTGTGAAGGACTTTGCATCAATACTCCGGGATCGTACAGGTGTCATTGCCCACCCGGCTTTATGGTAGCTGACACCAAATGCGAAGGTAAACAAATAAATATATAATAATATTATGTAGGTATAAGGTACACAAAGCTTTTAAATAATTTTTCAAAACGCTTCAAAAATATTTAATGATAGTTTGTGTGCATTACGTGTTATATTGTTTTAATTAGGTAATAATTAGATAGGTAATCTAAAATAATAAATGAAATAACTATGTTATATATTATATAGCCACCTAGACAATAATATTTATAGGCACACAGAAGTGACAGAACTACAGAAGTACAAAACTGTCTCATCAGTAATTATTTGTACTAATAAACATTTTCGTAACTAGTTGATGTACCTATTTAAAAGCCACCAGCTACGCATTTATTATAATTGTTGGTATTTTTTGGTTTCTCTTAGATACAAAAAAAAATATTTGTATTGTTATTTTCGTCATCGTTAGAAATCTACAGACTGTAGAGATATCCAATATATTATATTTATACTCATTTACCTATTATTATCAATTATGTGCATATTTTATAAGTCGATTGTTAATTTCCATTAAGTGTTCATATAACTAAGTCTTAAGGTAAATGCAGGAGAGGTGGGTAGAAGAGTGTGTATAATATTTTATGAATAGCATGCGTATGGTCGGGTATTACGAAAACAAACGTAGCGACATTCTGTAGATTTGATGTAATAATAGTATAATACATTGTTTTTGATAAATACATTGATATCGGGTTGAGATTTAGACTTAAAACTATTTTAAAATAAACACTTTAATTAAGTATACATTAAATACAGTTGAGTACTAAATAAACGAGATAAATAATCGATTGACACACAATATCTTTTAGTGCTTAAATCAATACAGATGTTATGTCTTACAACCGACACGTCTTGTTATAGCAGCTATCGCGTATGGTGCATTGTACATTCTATACCATAATATTATGCACATATAATATATATAGATGTATCATACAATATGTATAAATGATGGTCGTCCCACGCGCACACTTTATGTATCTATTTATATACGATATACCTATATAATACATCGATTACACACGCACTTGATGTTCGCCTCGGCGACAAAGACTTGCTCGAAAACGCATTCGTAATACCGATCACGCTTTCAAACGTTGTTTGTGCGGTGACGGTGGAAATCTGGATATATTATATTATGAGGTATAACCTATAGATTATAGTATTATTGTTATTTATAATTTATAAGTACACAGTACCTACTGGCAAATTTACGTAACACCGGGGTTGGCCAAACTTTTTCACCCATCTCTCAGCGCACTACCAACAACGAAATTCCGTTTTTTTTTCATAATTTAAACTCGTCCTTTTAAACGGGTTGCGTTTGCACCAGATTTGTGTTTTTAAACAGTAAAATATATAAATGGGCTCTAATCCCCACTCTCATTAATCAGACTCAAGATTGACAACTGAAACGTAGTTGATGTGGTTAAAATTAGTTTGTTATCGTATTGCATAAAACGTATTTTATCTAATTTTCCACGATTACTGAATATTGACATCAAATAAAATAGAATTTTGGTAGGTATTTCGTATTATAGGTAATAGATATAAATATAGATACTGCTCAGATTATGTTAAAATATTGTATTGAATTATGGTGTACACTTTTCCAGTAGTGCAATACAGAAATACGAAAGTAATGCATTTAATTATTTTATCTCTATGTATAATTCACGTATGGCTGTATTTTTATAATATTTTCGCTCAAAACGAGTATAGGTTAAGTACGGGAGATTTTTTTCCCTTTAAGGGCTTGCGCATGTACCTATAATAGTAACAGTTTACTTTCTATTTTTCGTGTGAAAACTTACAGAACCCCGTATGTTTAAGTATAATATTTCTTAGATTGTATAATAATATAATATCGGATCAGTTTCCGATTTTTTGCTTTCCATCCCGTATCTGACCCCACGGCCCCTGAATGCGTATTATTGTCAAGTGCCTATGAGTACTCATATCTTGTGCCTGACACGTGTTGCAGACATTGATGAATGCTTGTTACGCAACGGACACGGGCCATGCCAAGGTTCGTGCACCAACACCTGGGGTGGTTATAAGTGTTCGTGTCACGGCATACCGGGCACCAGGCTGTCCGACGACCGGCACACTTGCGACGATGTGGACGAGTGTCGGGACGGCACGGCCGGATGTTCGCACCAGTGCATCAACACTGTGGGATCCGCGTTCTGCGTGTGTCCGGACGGATTGCAGTTGGACGACGGCTGGAAAACTTGCGTGGACGTGGACGAATGTTCGGACCCGGAGCTGCAGCAGTCGTCGGACGTTTGCTCCGAACGCGGTTTGACGTGTTTGAACACGTCAGGCTCATATAAATGCGTGTGACGTAGAGTTCCTAAGCATACGTCATAAATTACGCTATATTGTAGATGAATTAACGATGCTGTACGATGCTATATAACCACATTAAATAATAATACAACACTACTAGCACGTATTATCTAAAACTCACCAATATTAATTTACTAGTCATGAGTGCTATTGTTGCAGTTGTTGTTGTTGTCTGTTGGCTATTGTTATTAATTATATTATGTAACCTATTGGTCCCATATTGTTATTTTTATAATCATTAGCTTTTACTATTTACACTATAATTTGTTAATTTTTTTACGCTTTTGATACTTTAAAATTGTATTAATACAAATGTATACTGCATACAAGCACTAGACTTACAATTCAATGACTAACAATTACAATTGAAATAATAATAAATATAATAATTAAGATTGTCACAATATTTATGAAATGTATTTTATTTTTAACCTGTTATTTAATCTGCAATAAATGTAGGTATGTTTACATAATATACGTTAAACTATTATCTTTAATCATTAATTAAACCATCAAAGTGTCATAAAATCGAGTATAGACGCGCATACCTACTTATTTAACATATTATTTTGTGTATCAAATATTATTGAATGAATGTTTTATTGAATTTCCGCTATATATTTGAAACCCTGAATATCCTGACTCAATTTCATTCATTGAACTCTGCTCCGTTACATTAATAAAGTCAGTAAATTAATAAATCCTTTTAAGAAAAACTTCAATTTAGAAGATCAGTTGAAGTCGATTTAGGCTAATAAAATTGTCACTATTGGTATAATACTATAACATATTAAGGTTTTATAAAGCGTATAATATGTAAAAAATTATAAGATAGTGATAAGAAATCTATAAAATTGTATCAAAAATTAAATACAAACAAACAGTGACATCCACTTGTATAAATATGAAATTTGAGCCTGGTGAGTGGCTTGGTGATTGGCCGCAGTCACTAATGTTTGCTTTGGTCCAACACCGTCCAGAGAAGCTGGCACGTACTACGTTACACAACAAACCGTAACCCCTCTCCAACAAAAAGCTAATGATCAATCTCAAATACCAATTGTCCAAAAAAATCAAAAATTGCACCTTGTTGAAATGGAAAATATTTCGAAGATAAACAGACAAACAACTGGCGAATAATTAATATTCTATGCTTCAAATTATGTAATCAAAAGTACCATCATATTAAAAATTTAATATTTTTTTGTGTTATTAAATATAAAATCAAATCATTTTTTATTAGTATAAAAATATTCATCTCATTAAACAATCTCTTACTTTAACATACGAATAATGGTTATGATAAAAATTAGTATAGTTCAGCATATTATTCTTTTTCATATATTGCTTTTTCGAATGTCTCAGTTTGTTTCTTTTGGTTTACTGTTTTCAATTTCAATTACTGCCCGATCTAAACAATACATATTCATTTAAATGATATATTTTTATTTTATTTTTTTTTTTTTTTTTGACTAACTGTATATATAATATAATATATGTAATTGTATAATATATTTATACACGTGTGTGTTTAAAATGTTTAAATTGATACCTTTGACTTCAATAGTGAAATTACATATAGCCTCATTTTTTGATGCATCCATAGCCATGTACAATACATTATACAGTCCCGGGCCCATAAGCTGACCAGGTTCCTAAACCAATTAAAATGCGTAAATAAAAACAATAAAATCCTCATGTAATCATAGTATGCAAGTATGAACATTGCACACACCATCGTTTTTGCCACTTGTGTTACGCCTATGTTGTCCAAAAACCGAGGTTCCGGCCATGATACGGGAGTGGCGTTCTTTTTTGAAAAATCCTCTATTACCTCCAAATACAAAGGACAATCTTGTACAGACGGAACTTCGTCATCTGCAACAACAAAACGATTGTACAAACACTACAAACTTAGATCAATGTTAAATTATATACTAATTCCCTAATTAAGTATATGTATATGTTTTACCCGTCACTCGTACAGTAGTCCTACATGATGCGATATCCGTGTCTTCGTCATCTCGAACCGTGTAGGTAATTATATATAAACCTGGTACCAAAATTCTCGACGAATTTTTATACCAACCGGAACTTAATGTACCAAACCTGTATAATGTACATGTATTAAGTTTGAATTTAACCGAAGTTTACATCAAGCAATTTTTATATAATTAAGTATTTGAATATTATAATATCGAATAATACGTAGTATACAACACCTGTTCCAATCGTAATTCGTGTTTGGTTGTTCGACTTTGAAATTTATAAATTTTTCACCTTCCGCTAAACTAAAGTTCTTGTCTGGTGGACACTTAATATAACATTCCATTTGGTACATCTATTATGTCAGCGTAATTATTAGTAATATTATTTAAATTATTATCCTACTATTATAATTTATAATAATAAAATATAGTACTAACAGTCATCGGTGTCGTTTTGGGAACACATATTGGTTTTACACCGACCCAATGTCCATTACTGCAATAAAGCTTGGTATGTGAAGGATTTTCGAACACATGCCCTTTGATACAATGGTAAATCACTTCTAAATATTTATTTTTTGGATCGACAATATTTTTATTCCTATGAAAACACAATCGAGATTGTATTAATAATGCTAAAATAACGATTTTGACCCTCTGAGCAGCGCAACTATGACATTAATGCAATCATGCTTGGTAAATAGTAATACATATTTCTAAGATATATGGCAAAACAAAACAAATTGCAAATAATACCTACCTAAACTTAAAGTATCTATAAAAAAACTCATTTTTAAACATTTTTTTCATACTATCACCTATTTGAGAAACCTTGAAACTTTCAAACCTTAGTTAAAAAAACTGAACATCTTATACATTTTTGCTAAAAAATAATTTACAAATTTTTGTGATTTTGGTAAATTTTGTCAAATCATTAATTTTAAATTCTTATAAACAAATTTTGCCTAATCTTAAATATTTTTGAGCTGCTTTATATAACTTATGGGAAACCTTATATAGTTGTATTACATATTAAGGCTATTAATTTGGCATAGAAAAAATAATTATAAAATCTAAAAATAGCTCAAAAGGATTTAAAATATTTTTAAAATTATGTTATATATACAAAAATGTTAGTATAAATAGTTGGTGAAAATTTCAAGTATATATACGGTTATTTGTTTTTGAAATACGCTGAAAATAAATCGATTTTGTTGAAAACAGGGTTTGCGTAAAAATGTCTTTTTAGAGACGCTTTATAACGCTTTTCTAAACTACTGGATATTCTTCATTAAAATTTTTAACTCATGGATACACTAATTATATTCAACCAGAAAAGATACTGAAGTTGAAAATCAAAACATTATTTCGACTACTTATCGTGTACACCGATACAAGGAAAAAACACACATCATTGTAAAATCAATAAATTAAATTCATTCATCATTTCAATCTCTTAAAAATTACAATCCTTACTTGGAATACTTCACCACATGAGCATATGGCAACTTAGGTGCCCTCAAAAAAATTTTCCCGTGTCGTTTTCTAAACAAACAACTTAAATCATAGTCTCCTACTGAATATTCTCTAGCCGAGTCTCTAATCATATGTTTCGGAAGTTGAAATGTACCAAGCCCTATTTAATGGATACATGTAATCAACCAAATCAACAAATTATTTGTATTATTCGTAATAATATTATTTAAATTTTACCTGATGTCTGTTGAAGTGTTTTGGGTGTTTCAATATCTACAGATTTATTTTCCAACCGCTCTTCGTTATTCTGAGTTTTTCTTTTTGTGTCGAGTTTCAATATACGTCTAAAATGATTAAATATAATATCATAATGATATAATCCAAATCGTATGAATATTTTACAGAAATTATAGTACATCTGATTAAATTATTATTTATTTACAACATTATCAAATAATGACTTATGAATTCATAACTATGCAGTAATGCCGTAATGCAATAATGCAGTATAGGCAGGTAGGTACCTACCTGAACGAAAACCAACCTTGTGCCGAACTGATAATATTGAAGTTGTGACCTGCGACGTACATAAAAAGGGTATAAGTATGATAATATTGTATAAGTATAAAGTTGTTATTCAAATAGGATAGTATATTATATTATTCACATGTTGACAAATATTTTAGATATTATATGTTCCCCGCTGATTTTTTTATCCGTGTAATCTAATATTAACGTTATATTGATACGCGTAATAATAATAAGGAACAATAATAATAAAATACATCCACTTACCGGAACTAGTAGGCCGTGTACACGAAGGCACATGTCCGGACCATTCTCCTTCGATACACGTGTGCTTTGTTTGACCTGTCAAAACGTACCCAGCATCGCATTGGTACACCTCCACAGCCCTTCTCCAATTTTTGGATGCCGTGAAAATCACTTGCCCGTTATCTGGTCGTGATCGGGGTTCGCAGTCCAACGATTCGGAAGAAACAAATGTAATGACTACAACATTAAGTTTAAAAAAAAAATCAAACAAGCTATACACCTACACAATATCTATAGCTATAATAAACGCAATAATGATACTCTATGCAATAATATAATATCACCGAAATATTTTCACTGCACTACCGGCTACTGCACTCGCCCGACATGTCTATATAACTTATGACGATGTTTTTGATTTTATACTTTACTCTTTTTGACGACCAAAACTGTTGTACAGCGTTAAAATATATATAAAGGGTATAAAATAGCATGTATTTATTATTTAATTCCATTATATTTATTAAATATTTATGAAACATTATCCGATATTTTAAGTGATAGTTAATGGACAAAACAAGATAATAGCAATAATAGCAGATGTGTGGATATTAAAATATCGATGTCATGTACATAGGTATTAATCTCTTAGTTCTGTCGTTGTACTCCCCCACCCCACTATGTTATCAAGAACGTTACATGCGAGTGTATATTTTTTTGATAATTTATATTTTATACTTAATAATATATTATGTTATAACTTATAATATTTTGATATTACGATATGATGATATGATTTAAATGTCATAATATTATGGAAACATGTCAGATGTAATATTGCCACATACCACCTAATAAATAATAATTAAATTAGTAATACTTTAGTAAAAATGTCATTTTAATTAATTATAACTATTATGTATCAGTAAGAGTAAATAGGTAATAAATAGTAAATCCAATATAGACTAAAGCCTTTATTTTTTTCGTTAAAAAATTAATAATCTTTTAGGTAAAACATAATTTGAATTCCTATTTTGAATTATAAAATAAGTTTAGTATCCTGATTTCCCTTTCCATAATAAAATATTTGCACGACATTATGTTATCATTACCTACTGAACACAATGTGGAAGAATTCAATAAGTACCCACCATCTAATTTTAAGAATACCGGAAATTATTTTAAACTGAACATATGTCATTCCTTATCAAAATATGATCTCACTTACGACTTACCATTTTGAATAAACAATATAATTCATACAATTTTGGTGTTAAACAATAAAAACAAGCTGACGCCTATGTGGCAGACAAAATTCAACATAATGGGTAACGATGTAACGTATTAATTAAGTCACTTCTACATTTACATCTACATTATACATTTTCTCAGAACCAACAATAATATTATCCATTTTTTTTTTGTTTAAAATTATAAATCTGCAATGTGCATGTTGGTATAATATCATTGTATCAATAATTCGAGACCGAACAACCGTGTACTCCTTTCGCATGCCATTTAATAGTTACGCGGCAGAGTGTAATGCAATAGGATGTTGTTGTACGGATTCACAATTTCAACGATGAACGAAGAATATAATATAAAAATCATACGCTTCACAAAATTAGAATTATTTTTTTAATGTATATAATATCATTAATTTTTTATCTAACGTGTGGGTGTATTCGTGGGTTCTACGATGGGCCACGTTATTAATTACTTAATCCAACTACTGATTGCTGCAGGTACATTTTTTTTAAATATTAATTAACTTTTACTCCGTGTTTCCAAAACACTAATTTTGAACTATTTTTTTGAATACCTGTATTTTTATGAGAAGCTACACTTTTTTTTAATGCTGTCTAAAATTGTTCATGTCTATTATTCTTGTCTCGTCAATAAATACAAACGTTAAAGTCTCTTTTATCCTCTATGAAATTATTCAAATTCTTAAACTATACATTAAATATACACATTACACACAATATCTAAAAAACATTGGAGGATTCTTCAACTAATACCTTAAATGAGAGTATTATTATAGTCTACTATATTATATTAATCCTTAATATACTTTATAGTCAATCGTTTTTGCAATATTTTTCAGTATATAATATAATATGTCTATTATTTTCTATTATTAATTTGTAAATGTGAACAAGAAACTTTATCACGAGCATTTTATTTCATTGAATTTGCCTTGAAATGTAAAAACTTAAGATTTTATTAAGGTGAACTTTGATAATTTAATAATTTGATTCATAAGCCCTTCTCAAATTAATACTTAGTACCTAACTAGTGAGTAAGGCTAGGTTAGGTTATATTATTGATATTAACACTCATCTATTAAATACAACGATAATATAACGATGTTAAATCAACTAAAATTGTACAAAGATAATATGTTTATAACATTTAGGTAATTCATTTTAATTTGTTTAACAGTGACTAAAAACTTTAATTTTTCATTATCTTACTCACACTCGTATTACTATTTAAATAACTGTTAGGAACGATGATATTAATACTCAATAAATCAATCTAACTGACTGACTTAATCAAAACTTAATGCAATGTCAATCAGAAATCAAACTATTAGTTTTTACTAAAAATAAATAACATAAGTTTTTAAATATATAATTTTACCTGTTTTTGCTAATATAATAAATTCGATGACAATTCTAGTAAATTCCATATTTATAATACACCACTGTGAGAAGTTACTACTTGAAAAACAAAATCAAACAACTGGTATGAGTATGACTGACACGCATGATACCTTTCTACATAAAACCACAAAGAGCCCGTCTGTCGGGATTTAATATCATTTCCATTCCACCATCCCCACCATACGGTTTCTGATCAACAAAACGTACCGTCCAGACGTACACGACATTTATTTTAAATAAAATAGGTACACTTTGAATAAAAAAAAAAAAATAACAGTCCAGTTAAAAACAGTGAAACTAATATAGCTAGAAAGTAAAATAATTAATTCTAAATAAAACATATAGGAAGATAAATGTAAGTAAAAAATATCTGCGATGAATATGAACAAATAACAATAATATTTAACTACAGTCAATCCGTAAATTTAAATCTCGTAAAAAAGAAAACATTTGAATAAAATAAAATTACAAAAAAAACATAAACACACACGTTTACAATATTTTGTACAAATCTAATAAAAGATAATAATAAAAACATAAGTCAATAAATTATGTGTATTTCTCACTATTATATAAGCAATTGTCAAGTTATAATAGTTTATACTAAAAATTAAGAAGCACTAAAAAAAAAAATAAGTAATGTCAATAAGCTTTTCATTGAACATATTTTATAATTTTGAGTTCATAGTTTGTATTAACTCCTAAGTGGGTTAGTTATAGAAAGCGTACAAAGGTCTTAATATAATAAATAATTAGCTAAAAACAAATCTCTTTAGTTGATTTTCTCAAAATCAAATTTTATATAATTCAAATAATTAACATAGCTTATATTGAATAATATGAAAAAATAATACTACATCCCGCTGCACGAAAAACTAATAATTGATTGAATCTGCACAAAAAAAAGTTTTAAATATTATTAAATTCCACTTAAAAATATTCAACAATAACTATATGAACTATTTTCCCTTTTAACACTAAATAATGAATATTAGTACCATCAGAGACACAAGAAACGTCGATTTAATCAATCATTCCTGATGGTATAGCATTTTATAAAACAGTTTATAATTATTTATTATTCGTTAGATATTACTTGAGTAATATATTATCATATTATAAAGTTAAAAATACATGAAATTATTAACTAAAGTTCTTATTAAATTAACTAAAAGCCTAAAATCACTCTCGTCGGCTAAGTACTTTAAATATTATAATGTAAGGATTTTTTATTTTAAAAATATAATATACATGCATTGTTTTTATAAATAAAAATATTGTCTTATTATTATTATTCTCATTCTTTTTTTCTTTTAACAACTATACAGGATCTGCCATCCTTGTCTTATACCTCCACAAGGGCTCTGTCCCAACCTCTCCTTCTCTCACAACAGCTATTTTCGTGTCATTCTCTATTCTGTTAATCCACCTCTTCTTCGGGCTTTCACAATCTCTTTTTTTCTACATGTATTTCCATAGCCACCCTCTTCCCATAACGCAACTTAACTATGTCCACCATATTTTGATTATAATTGGTGCCACTCCTACCTCTAATAAATAATGACCTCCAACTGTGTCTTATAAAATCTACATGTCAATCTCAATGTCATCACCTGGTCACACAAAATACCTGACACTTATCTCCATTTCATCCATCCACGTATAGTTCAGATTTCATTTATATGAATATATTATTCCTTTATGTTCTACATTGGTTCTTATTTCAGTTATCACAAATAATTTTTCATATTTACCCATAAGCTTCCACCACTTGATTTTTGGTCCCTACCTAACTACTCTTTCCTCTTGTTCATTATTCTTCTATTACACCACCACTCTAAGACCATCGATCTATGGCGTGTTACTACATTTTTTTCTGGAATTATTTTACAATATATGCGCTTATTTAAGTAATCAATTTTAGAATCATTCTACATGTGAAGCATTTTGCACTTACTTCATTTAACAACTCATTATCCAGAATCAGTTTTAGAATTATTATTCAATCACTTTTCATCGTAATCTCGAGCCCTTTTATTTTCATCTCCACGTTTACTATCATACCTACTCCATTCGTAGTACTATTACACGAGTATATTATTATCTCACAGTGTTTGGAAAGAATGAGTTCCAAAAGAAACGAATTTGTTCATTTTCCAAAGGAACGACAAAGGAAAGAATTCTTTTTTTTAAAGGAACTAGGAACGGAACGAATTCCTTTTTATAAGGAACTTTGCAAAAACTTTTATCTCATACAATCCTCTGATATACTTTGATTTCTCGTCTTTCTACTTAGTTTGCTACACACAACAAATATTCACCTTTCTACTATCCAATACTCCAAATAATTCTCTACTTTTACCTATATGTTCTGACATTCTACATATCGATACTAACTTTGTAGCTCTCTCTCTCACAAGTCAGCGTGGTATCAGTAGCTCTGAGACCATCAAGCACGCCATCGGAGTTGGACGGGTTCATGCATATAACTGGTGCAAGGGCCACCAAAATTGTATCGCTGATACATCCACTCCATCAACAATGTTATTACTTCTCATAGTTTGTCTCCAAAAACATCTGATAAGGGTCAAACCCCTTATAGTTTCAGACCTCTCATACTTTTTTGGCACATTTTACACTGGATTTTAATCTAACACTAACAAGTTTTAATCTCATCTTAGGCATTAACATAACCTAAGAACATTCTGATGTCGTTATACAGGGCAATTTATAAAAATGTTATGAAGTTCTTAATAATTATGAACAATTTATAAAAAAAAAATTAAAATTCTAAAGAATATTACATTATCTAAGCGCTAATGAAGAATGGTTTTTGTTCAATGTGTGTCAATCTACAATTTAAAATTAGTATTGATAATTTGTTGACAATCTATAACATTTAAAATTGTATTTCTAATGTCAAATTCTTAAATAATAAATAAAAGATATTCGCCATCAAATTTTAGATTGTAATTAAATATATTACTTTTTTCTTTCTTGAAAAATAGATTTTAAACTTTTCTGTCTAATTAGCCAATTGTTATGCTGGTGACTCGACTAATTTTAATTAACTCAACATTTATTTCTCATTTATTGTTAATGAAAAACTATTAAACATTATTATATTATTAATTATTATAAATAGTGTTACCATTATTATACGCGTTAAGGCAGAGGCCATGGTAACCCGGAAAAATCAACTGGTCCACCGAGTCCGGCGTCCGCTTCCAAGAGGCTCATTATGACGGCCATAGCGGCTTCGTCGTTAGTACCCAAATTAGACAACTGTTGTGGAGACGGTGTCATTATTTCACCTAGCATGTTCTCCGGGTCACCTGGAATAAAAAATATATACGTTTTACAAAATTTGAAAATGAGTTCGGTTGAACTTTGAATACTATTGGTATTGGTCGAGTTCAACAGATTTACGCTGTCCTGGATCGCGGTGTACGATGAAACTGTATCTCCACTGCCGCCGTCACCTCCATTACTCGACAACGTGCTTGGTTCGTTGAGCATCGCCAGCGGTGAACTCAGAAACTGTAAACGGTCATTGTTGGACTCCTGGTAACAGTGGACACGGTAAGTATCTTATAAGTAATACAACTTATAAAAATATTATGACTAATAGAAAAACTTGGCAAGCCTATTTTTTACTGAACGAGAGTATTTATTATTTTCTACATTTTGATTCTTTGGAAATTTCAAAAGTCTGAAATATGCTTATGGTTAGGTTGTGGTCTGGTTAGTAAGATTAAGACTTTAAACCCAAATAATCGCTTTGCCGTTCTAGAAATACGATTCGAATGCCAAATATTGAAATACGTATACAGATAATATCGGTGTTTCTGAGTATTTTATAAGTTACGACAAAAATAAAAATGTAAATTTTTGAATATTGAGAATAACTATTATTTGTTTAATATATTCTATATTTAGTGTGAATACAAATTCATGTTTAATGGAAATATTTTTAAGCAATGTTAAATTATTTCACATGTATCCCAACTTTTTCTTATTATATATGTTATTATCTGTGTAGATTGTAGGGAGTTCCATTATAAATTGGAAATTAAAATTAGTGATAAAGAATAATCAGTTTGTTTCATTATTTTATAGTATTTTATTAATTATTTTAACCAGCTCAGCCCAATCACATTAGATAACTAATTATAATTTTCCATTTCATTAATAATTGTTTGATTTATCGTAGTAAAATAAATAATTATTTAGATTAATTTTTGAAATACCCTTAATGAAACCTCACCTTTTTATTTATTTATTTGTTAATTTTATTTGTATGAAATTAAAAAATTTTAAAATTTAAAATTTAAAATTTTTGTATTTTGCTTATATTTTTTAATATATTATCATATTTATGAAAACTGAACAGTTATTTCTGCGAATTCACCATTAACCTCGTTTACGTTAGTCGTATATTTAATGTAATTGTGTACGTAAATTAGAATCAAACTACCACACAGATTTAAAGTTCTTACTGTTTATTGTTTGAAGTAAATTAAATTGTTAGTATCGTTTTAAATTTCTAATATTGCAAGTCAAATAACTTAAGCGTAATTCCATAAACCTAAAATCGTCATAACTTCAAATTTAAATCCCACCACCAAATTTGATTGCATCATTATTTTTTTCGAATACAAAAATTTATTTAACTTTGTTTAAGCTCCGATAAATACTAACTACTTTTTCTTTTGTATCCTTTAAAGAGTGTGGAGGAGAACTGTCGATATCACAAGTTGACTTCTTTACATCCAAAGTAGTATCAACAATGTGCCTTCCGATTTTGTTTGCTTCTATATGTGAAGTAATCAAGTTTTGTATTTCTCTATTACCCAGCTGCTGTTGGCTTTTTGACAACTGTTGTTCTGTAAAACTATCATAGTTGTTTTGCGATTGCCCCTGTGAAGAGCACTCTGATTTGTTGCTGCTATCAGATTTGAAATCTGATCTAAGAATAAAAAAATCAGAGTTTAATCTAAAACCAACATTCAGTTCATTGACAGTTGATACCTAGTCAAAATGTTATTCGCAACAATAAATTCTATATCTTTAGTCCAAGGGTTCCGAAAACTTTTCCATTCACTCCGTAAGCTTACAAATGTTTTGTTTTTAGCCCGAAATTTATAAATCTATAGGAAACAAATATTATTTTAATTTTTGAAATTCAAAACTTTAGGTATTAAATTTTGCAAGCATTTACCTCTGTGTCTTTTGGCGTACACTCTTGAAGTGTTGCTTTATGGACATCTACAAGTCTAGCAATATCATCTTGATGAAAGTATTCATACATGCTGGTACCTAATAATTCTTGAGGCAAAAACCCAACTATATATGTGACCCTGTAACAATATCAAGTGCTCAATCATACAAATGTTTCCCATAATTCATTATGCACGATTTACCTTTGATCCACAGACAGAAATTTTCCATCGATTGTGTGTTTTGAAGTGAAACATGGCGGTTTTACTATGTCCGATAAAAGTGAAGAGGAAGCCAAATTATTAATTATTCTACCAACAGCTACCAAACACGATGTATTGTTTGCAGATCCAGTATCCGCTCCAACGCCATTACCATCATTGTCTTCTTCTAATCCCAAACTTTTCCCAGATCCATCCTCACATTCATTCATCTGTGTCCAGGGTTTTAAGTAACCAGTACACTGAATTACATTGTATCGTTTATCTAAATATATAAATAGATACTATTGTTTATAAGGATCTTATTAGATACACTTTGTTCTAAAAACTGGCATTTTGGTTAACTTGGTTTACTATATGGTACCGATCTCGTCATTAGACTTATTACTACTTTTTACCTACTATTGAATGCACAGCCATAAAATATATTTCATATTTTTATACCTGATTGAGTGTACTTTGATCCAGTAGTTGTGTCTGCTTCTTCTTTTATATCATATACTTTACACTTCATTCGACAAAAGAATGATCTCCTAGCTCCACTACACATTTTTGACAATGTATTCATCATTTCAGCACGCACCGGTAACATTGCTGTTGCAAAAATAATTACCACCTGTTATGTTCCCTACTCGTATATAATAATTTTATCAACATCAAATAAAATAGCAGAATTTAAACTTACTATTAGCATTGATATATTTATCTCTAGGACCAAAGTCTGAACAGGAAAGTTGTTCTTTCACTTTAGCTACATCTTTTGGATGGATATAGTCAAAAACATTATTCCCAACCAAGTCCTCCTATATTAATATATTATATACAACAATTAACCTTGGTTATATGACATTTTTAATTCAAATTGCAGACTTACTGGTATATAATTCAGAACCTGAGTCACGGATTTTGATATATAAAGTATCTTTCCATGATCACAACTCACAGCGAGAACAAAACCTTCAGCAGCCTGAAATATATTGGTATCGAAATGTTTCAACTATTAACTCAAGTGTTGAACTAAAAACTGTCGGTTAGTATACAGTCTACGCTCTACCCACTCTATACGAATTTAGTAAGCAGTCTGCCTAGAATATGGTCTACAAAAAAATTTTCGTTACTAATAACTATATAGACTTACAATAAAACTACCCATATAAATATAATGAAAGAGAGTAAATGGTAGCAATTAAATAAAACAAAAGTTATTTTCAATGTTTTAAAAAAATTATTATTTATAAAATATTGGTAAAACTATTAATATTTTTGTTTGATTATGATTTTGATTTTGACTTACAACAATATATATATATGAGTGAACATTTTAAGTTGTAACTTAACGTATATATCACATGGATATATAGTATAATTATAGGTATGTATCAATATATACACCAGACACCACTCACTACACCAAGGTAATTGGTGCATTTGTACAAATATCTAATTATAACCAGCCTATATATTATATATTAATATTTTAGAGTAACAATAAATAAAACTAAATTGTAATACTGTTTTATAATAGTGAACCGTAACTTAAAGATAACCGAACATAATATGCTAAAATCACATATAACTGTAAGGTGACAAATAACAATATTTGTATAAAAAAAAAGGTGGATTAGTGAATAGCGCTCTGTTGCAGTACATTACTTGTCACGTAGTGGGCCCCTGTAATGGATGTGTTAAATTTGAATTCAATAATATAAAACCATTGTATACCAAAAACAATTCTGAGCCAAGAAAGTCTGTCAGCCTATATTACTAAGTGTATTTTTTGATATTATTCCTATAATTAAACTACCTATAAAGTGATTTATTGAATTTTATTCTTCTATTAGTAATATAATTGGTTAAATTAATTTTTACAAAAATATTGAGTTTGAAAATGTCATTGTGTGTATAAAATATAGTGATGTATTAAATGTTTGAAGTTCCCATGAATAATGTTTTTAAATTACAACAACATAAAAAACTAAACAAATAACTAACATAATTATTCATTGTTTATGTTTCTATATGACTTGGTAAGTGACCACTGACCGTGGGTCAAAAATCGCCCTGTTTAATTTTTTTTTGAGGACAAAGGGGTATGATGCTCAAAGTCAGGACATATGTTCATCCTACAACTTCTAAGTAGTAAACTTACGTGTGTAATTAAAGTTTTCAAATCTTGATCAGATAAAAATGAAGGCTTATAATGACCTTCAGTGTATGAATTAACAGTGCTTCGGATTGTCTTCATATGTTGCACGGCCATTCTGAGCACAGACAGTTTATCTAACTTTCGTGGCATAGTATGACACATTGGTATCATACTAGCTAGCTCGGTAATATAAGAGTTCATCTTGTCTCTTCTACGCTTCTCAATTTCACTGTGATTATGTCTACAATGAAGAAACATACTCAAATTAGCTGTTAATTTATAAACTAATGTACTTAAGTCATATTTGTTGTATATACTTCTCTAAATTAACAATACCTACTTATTGGATAAGTTAATTCTAATTTTTTAGCATAATGATGAAATTAACATATGATATTTATTTTTATTTGCAGCCTGTAGACTTCACAATACAATACGATATGCGATCACTGAAAAAATTAAAACATATTGACAAAATACACTGAAAGGCAAGATAGTAGTGGATTTTACAACATGAAAATATTCATATAAAATAATGATGTGAAAAGGGTTTGATAAGTGACCTTTAAGTTTAAATTCAATGATGACTGTGCCACAAAGATATTTAGACAAAATCAAAAAAAGCATCTATAGTTGTAAAGCAGGTAGTCTACGTATTTGAAGATTCTTATTTCAAATGTAATTCACATAGCTTTATGAAAGAAAAATCCAAGGCATATTATTTAAAGTGAAAATTACACATTACTTTTTGCTATTGTCATTTCGAACAGACCTTGAATCATCATTGTTGTCATCGTCAAAATCGCTACCACTATACAAACATAAAAAAAAACGAAAACAATTAAATAGTTTAGTATCAATAATTTTAAAAACATGTACCTATTAATTAAAATCGAAATTTACTTTGCTACATTTATATAGTACCTTAGATTATTCTACATTAGATTTGTATAAAGATATAATTAATACACTAATAACCAATACCGATAACCAAAACGTTCGTTTAAATTACTTCTCTTATTTTTTTAAACATAATAAGTACTGAGATGAATATTTACGATTATTAAATATAAATCCCATAGGTACTTAAAAATATTAAATCTTTTGTTATATTAGTTACATTTAAAATAAATATATTTGATTTTAGATGGAATTTATATAATTGTCAATCGAAAAATTGGACATCTTTAGTACAATTTCCAATCAATAGCACAATATTTTTCAAACATTGTATCAATTATTTTATTCTAAACAAACAAATTAAACTATATTTATACATATATATATATATATGTATACATATATAATTATACAAATATTTTTAAGCATATTCTATTATTTCATATTTGGATTACCTAGCTTATTTAAATCTAAAATCGAAATAAAATGTATTAATGTACAATTTATAGGTACATAATGCATAATACAAATTTAAAGTTAAAATTTTAAAAAATACATTTTTATTCAAATGAATAACGACAATGTTACAAATCAGTATAAAATATAGTTTTTATATCACTAACCACAGTAAATTTACACTCATAAGCTCATTGATCATATAAATAATTTACCTATGCAGTTAAGTAGATTTTTGTATTTGTAATTTATACAACTATTTAATTTTATAATTAATTTGTGAAACTAATTCATGTAACACCAATATTATAAATGTAACAAATTTACATATTTTTGAATTTATGTTTAGTTCAAATACTGGTTTTAAAACATTTAATGAGACAAATCCGATTAATATAAAACTGTAATTTAAAGTTTAATAGCGTTTTTAACAATTTGTAATTTTTTAACAATTAATGAAATATTGTATAATTAGAGATTAATAAATTAAATAAAGTTTAAAATCACATTAAAAGTTATATATGTTAATACATAAGATGTATTGAATGATTATTTTGTCTTTTAAAGTGGTGAATATTTCTATGCATTATCAGTACTTACTGTGCAGATCCTTTCCTTTTGTTTTTGTAATGTTCATCTCCACTCAAATCCATACTTAGATCTGCTGTAGACGAAGCCAGTCGGGTACTGTCTTGCATGTTGTATGAACTTCTAAAAATGTTGTATTATTTTTCTTCTTAAATTATTTACAAGACATTGATTTTTTTAGGAACATTCAACTACTTACTCCTTAATAGTTTCAGAAACGGGTTGTAAATTAAAATAAGCGAGCTGTTCCATGGGACTGTCATGGCTCAAGTTATCGAAATTCATTAAATCACTATGATCGTGTAACAGATTATTACAATAAGAAGCAAAATCCGAATTTCTAGCCATTTTATGACTAGTTAAATTTTACCAGAAGTTAAAGTTTTACGATATAAGTGCAACGTACAACTGACACCTGTAAGTATCAGATCCAACAGTCCCAAAGAATCTCTTCTGCGAGATATTCTAGGGGGTGGTTTTGCGCGACGTGATCGAGCCTTACCATTGGTCGACGACAATTGTTTACGTCATTTGTTAGCACGATTTCAATTGTACATATATAAATATATATTCCAGAAACCAATGAAGGAAAAAATATTAGAAACCATTTGAATAACTTTGTAGATTGTAATCTATGCGATGCATTAAAACAGTCACTCTATAATATTGAATAAGGTCTATAGTAAGACTTATTAGAATAATTATGATTAACACATGAATAATTATTTTCGTGTATTTAATAAATCCAATATTTTATTTTATATATACTTTGAAAATGTTTAATTCCTTAAAATCTTTGTTGTTAATAATTATGAAAATATAACTTTTCCAAAAAAATGTATAACTGTATGAATATATGAATAATGTTGACTTATAAATTAAGGATTCATTTATATTTGTAAATAAAATGTTCTAACATTTTTGTAAAAAAAATATTACCTAGTGAGCATTGTTTATATACATAATATTATTATAAGTACCTACATATTTTTAATTAAAAAAATATGCTTTGTACAAAAGTAAGTAGATTGACAAATATATAAAATAAAAATAAAATAGATATACATACTAATATTAAATGTTAAAAACTCTTAAATGGTTCTTAATAGAAATAAAATTATCGGAAAAACTTTTTATGTTTACAATCTATCTACGTATACAAGGATGTAATATTACATAACTCAATATTATATTTATGTTTAAATAATTGATCGTACCGTGAATAATGTCTTTTTCTCGGCTTCATTTTAGATCCTTTCCTGAAATATTATACAAAATTAATATTATTTATTTGTTATTGTTTCATGTAAATGATACCTGAAATTGAGGTAACACCTTTATAAGTTTTTGTAAAATTCGAATATGAAATCCGTTTTTAACTTGCCCTAGAGGAAATTAATAATGTCCACCCTTTTTGTCTGAACCAGAGATTGCTGCCCTTCTATTGTTACGCACACGGAGGGAAAAAATACAAAACCTTAACAATATACGTCACTGACATTATATTTGTTTTTAAATATTCAGACGTAACGGATATCTACTTAACCAAATAATTAGACTGTACAGCGGGAGGTACCTATACCTGTCAAATGCATCCTAATAACATATTTTCTTACCCAAAATTACAAAAAAAATGTATTACTATACCTATTTAATAAATAATAGAGGATCTCTATACATACAATTGTATAGATATTCATTCTCTAGTAAATATATTATTGAATATTGATATTGACCCTTCACAAATTAAAAATATTAGATATATTAAATTTAACAGAACATATTAAATAAGTAAATTCAAGCTAAAAATGAAAGTATTTCATCATTAATAGGATCACCCATCTATAGAAATGTTATTATTTATTTAATACAATACAATAGTATACAACAATTAGTACATTTTATTTAACGTATAAATTATTTCTATCATACTTAATGACTATTATGAGAAATGTAAGTATCGAAAAAATTATGAATAAAGTAAAATAAAAATACAAATAAAATAATAATAAAGTAGGTACACTTAATAAACATAAAAAAAATTCCAAATATTCAAAATATTTTATATTTTTGTACAAAAGTCATTGTAATTACGGAAATCAACTGTAATTGTACTATTTAATCTTTACAAATTACATCGTAATTATTACAATATTGTTTTTACATATATTTGTAATATTATGTTTCTTAAGAACTATATCACTACTTTTATTTTGAAATCCATTACTAAGCTACCTGTTGCCTGTTTGGATTATCAATAAATCCGTACTCCAATGCATAACCCCACTACCCACCAGCGTATACTTCAAAATGTTAATAGTTATTTGAATATTTGTACATGACTATGTGGCACGCACTATCATAGATAGAGTTAACGGTAGAAATTATTTATCCGGGTATGTGGCATGTGTTAAATAAAAGATTCAGGTATATAAAATACAGGTTACTAAAAAAAAGAGAGATATTCGTAGGTTAGGTTCGTTGAAAAACTTATGAGATTACTGATTGAATATGACATATATTTAGACATAATAACAAATAATAATATGATAATAGGTACCATATTATGGACCTGTACAGTTTAATATACCTATTAATACAACATCAGGACGATAATAGATCAAAATAATATTACATAACCACCAACCAGATTCAGATTGATCCTGCGAACTACCGAGTACCGGGCAAATATCGGTGGGCTGAACAACATCTATATAAAAACGTAATTATGTAATGATATGTATTATAACAATATTATGTAAGTACTAAGTAGCTGTATATAATTAATACAACCTACATCACGGTTGAAAACGGAGTAATTGTATACAAAAGTATACACATTTAGAACGAAAACCAAGGGAGCAATATAAACTATAATACAATTTATAAATAGTTATGTTAGGTATATTTAAATATGTAATGAGTTTTAACGAATTTGTAATCCGTTTTCTAGATTTGGTAAAAAAAGGATGTTATTTTATTCAGCAAAGTGATAGGTGGAAAATATTTAGACCACAATGTTTTGGTTATCTTTCTTGAGCCATAAATTTGAATTTAACCGATAAACGTAATATTGAGACCGTTGATTTATTTATCTTATTATTGGACTATAAAGTAACGTTTCGGGGTCAGTTTAACTTCACATATCCATTTCTATATACATAAAGTATAACTTATAACTTATAAGTCATAACATCATATTACTGCTGTACAGGCAGGCACGGTAATAGTTCCGCGAGAGGGGGTATTTTAAATGAATTAACTGATTAATCTTACATGACTTACATGACCATGTCGAGAAAACTTTTTTTTTTAAACCTTTGGTAGGAGGGTTAACCCAGAGGATTAAGATAGGGCGGGAGAGGGATCACAAAAAATCCACCCTGTACACTTTTTCTGCATGGCTGCATATAATAATTTGGTACAGATATTCATCCCTTCAACATATATAATATATATATATGTGTGTATTTATCTCTATGTATATATATATATTATATTTTATGTAAATATCGACATAGGTACTCGTAGTTAGACAGAAACGGGTAAAGCTTGTATCACCTAAAACGAGGTACGTAGTACTTTTTTTGTGTAAAAGGCCATATCATATTCCCATCTTGGACGTATGAATATTAATATAACCTATGAACTATACCACACCTACGTCCTACACTGCACTCGTATATCATCATAGTGTGTATATATTATGTGAAAAACGTTCACGAGTATATGGGGAATAAATGTGTATAACTATAAAAGAGTAGTAGAATTCATTAATATGGCAACGAAATAACTGATCAAAAAACATCCGAATTGAGAACCACTCAGTCGCACTTCAAACGTCCAAACCTATAAATGATCACGCATATTCACATTTTTTGACAAAAAGAAACAAATACATCAAGTTCTAAATCTGAAATGGAAAAAACAAAACTGTATTCAATAAAAATCAGAATTCATAATATTGCATGACACGAGTAAGAATAGATCGGACCCTTGTGCTCTTAACTATGAAATATAACAAGAACCAGGCCTATTAAGTAGTCATTGACATTTTTAAAACTGTGACTAAACGTTTTGCCATATTATAATATGAAACTTTAAAAAATGTCAAGTAACGGCAGTTGAAGTGATTCAATATTTCAACCTCAAATATATCATTTTCATAAGGAAATTATAACACGATACTTATAATAATACAATTATTATTAATTATTTTGATTTTGTATTAATGATATTCAATTTAAAGGGTTCTGAGGATTTTGATGGACTAATCATCCCCCCCCCCCCCCGACGACCCGCAATATCCATCCGCGTCACTACCTCTTCTAGTCCTCTACCACAAGGACATATGCACACCTATGATAATGTATCGTATATACTTCAAGGATAATTCTTGGTATGGGATCACCTGTTCTAGTTAATTACTTGTGGTAATAATTTTCAATTCATAGTTGTAAATTTGAAAATAATATCAAATAATATTTTTCAACATGACTTTTTTTTTTGTATAGTTAATATGTGTGCGATTGATGGTAACTAGTTAAGAGTGAATATAGTGAATATTTAATAAAGATAATATGTTTCCGTTTGTCCATTCCTGAATAGTCATATGAAACCCGGAACAGATCTCAAGTTAACACGTTGATGACAAAAATATTTTTGACCATCCAATCGATAGTAATACTAATATCTGCGCACCAACGCTTATGATAATGGTGTGCATATTACATGCGAATAAATTATGCGCTACTCACCAATTTCTAATTATACAAGTATATAATATACATCAACAATAATAGGTATAATGCGTCCGTTATCAGCTTCTGCGGCGACGTATCGAGCAAGCAACACGGGAAAAACTTCGGCGGGGCGGCGGCGGCGGCGGCTGTCAGCGATCGTATTTATGTGTTCATTTTTTTGTACTAGACCAAAACTCAATAGGTGTATAATCCAATATTATAACACCTAATAATTAATAAAAAAATAAACGATCACGTTTCTGCCGGCCTGGCGTACTTATTATAATGTATAATAATATTATCGTTTGGCGTGGAGCGTACACGCAATAGGCCTATGTACACACAAAACATGGTACCCACTCGAATAATATTGTGTACGACGACGAGAGGTCTTCTCCTAACACTCGCTCACTTATCTAAATCATTTTTCGTCCGCGCTCCGTGTACCGCTGTCGTCGACTCGCTCATCACAACAACACAATAATATAATATTACATTATAAATGCGTTTATATATATCATATGTGTATATGTATAACTATATTATAAGTACTGTTATCGGAGAGTAATAATTACTGTACCGACGATCAGCGTTATCGAGTTCGTTCAAATTCGTGTTTTTATTGTGCATAAATATTATAATAATACACATTATAAGATGTGTATAGTGTATACTGTATAATAAATAATAATATAACGCGTGAGAGTTTGTAGGAACTTATAATAAACAACTTGATAATTTTCCTGCGTTAACGGCATAGATAACAACTAAATAACTTAATAACATCATAATTAGGTACGATATATCGATATTGTGATTATAATTAAGTAGGCATAATATATTAGGTGCCTATTGCGGTGCATTACCCCTACATAACTTTTTGTGGTTTTTTTACAGATATTAGAGAATACACAGTATACGTATGTAATCATTATTCTTAAAATAAGAGTATTATACCTATGTAATGGAGACTGTAGCGATTTATACGCGTAAATCGCTCGGAAGGTTGGAGTTGAAGAAGCTACCCAACGGTAACACTCTTTTAAAACTGTATAAGACAATATTTTATGGCTGTATAAAATAATATTCTATAACCCGGGGTAGGCAGTATATGTTATGCAAATTCCATAAACATGGGCAGACTGTCATAGCGTACGCAACTACGCAAGTAACCGTATTGTATTTGTTTTACTGAACTTAAAGCGACCAAATAAGTTTTTTATGATATTCGTTGTATAGTTTATTATATGATATTGCATCATAAAGATGTACGCTGAGTAGGTACCAGACGAAGGACCTGTATTACTCTGTGAAACATCTATGAGTGTTCTCAAAAACTAAAATGTTTTCTAAAAAGTAAAATAAAATACCACTTGAAATAGGATAAAGTTAATAAAACTAAAAATTATGCATATAAAACTATAGGTACTACAACTATAGTTTAAAATGAAGGATAACATAAAATCAATACTTCACCGTCACTCTATTTGTATTGTTAAAATTGAACTTAATATATATTTACAATAAATTTATTTCAACAACTGTAATATGAAATCATATATTTTATAGATTCAAAAAAACTAGGAATATACTAGATACTAATAAACATTTTTATCCTAAATATTTAAATAATTACATTTTCATTTCCATTTTTTTTACCTTGATAGTTTTTAATGTTTTCGGTTTATCTAATACATTTATAAATTATAACCTAAGTAATAATAAAAACTATGGGAACCAATTAGTATTGAAAAATATAAGTGCGATGAACTATACCTCTGTAGATGTTAAATAAAAAGAAGAATTTACCGTGAAACGAGTAACTCGGAAGAATTTGTCTCGAAGAATGAAGCCATAACCTTTAGAAGATTGGTCATTGGTATAGGATAAAATTATAAATTGATTGTACATAATATATACATATAGGTACAAGGTACATAATCATTAATCTATATTAAATTCATTGGTATACGTATTATATTTTATATTATTATATAGATAATTAATGTAGCATACATTCATATAATATACATTATACATAATAATTCATTATGATAGTAACTATATTTAATAACAACATTAATATATAAATATTTTAATAAAAATAAATACCCTGTACCGTCATAATCTGCAAATCCAAGTACGCCACTGTGGGCATAGTATATAGTTACGTCTTACGTATAATAAATGTATAATACATGGGTACAGCTCCCACGCAGATCTATGAAGCTACATAAATAATTATCTTTATTATTAAGAAGATGTTTTTACATTCAAACGTTATTACGTTAGGTCCAAAGTTGACGTGACTATTATTATTTCGTCGCAATTATCTGGAGGCGATAAATCGCCGTCTTTCTCTCGATTGATAAATACCTAACAACTCGAACGGCGTACGATAGTTCTTCGACGTTTATATACGTTTATCGTCACCGCGAGCACATTTCAAAAGATATCATAATATTATGCTCATCAAAAATACTTACCTCTACTTGAGTACTTTTCTACACATACCTATTGGCTATTATATTATATACTAACGTTTACACTCCGTTCATAATAATAGACATAAAAATAAATAACACTTATGGATGGGATTTCAATGAGTTTAATTTTGTATGCATTTTAATAAAATATAAAATCCACAAAGTCCATTTTTAATTTGTTGTATTCCTTTTTTGAATTTCTTTTATGATCGAGAGAATTATTTTAATGTATTTCCGTGTATAGTACAATGAAATTTAAGCTACTTTAATAAATTTTTACTAACTTTGGGTTTTAAAATAATTGTATACGCATCGAATAACATTTTAGTACCTAATACCCGTGTGCTGGTGTGCTAATAAATATCGAATTCCGATTATCTGCATTCTACCTAATTTAATTTAGCCATCTCGGTAGTAATAACTCCTTAAACTGGAAACCTCTACCAAAACTTGAAGATCCGCAAATCACAATATTATAAAATGCACCATGATCAAAGTAGTATTACTTTTACATAATATAGTTCATGATAATAAACCATGTGACTTGCAAACGTGTGCAAGTTAGTTGAGCAACAATGCTTTTTAAACTGCAACACCGGCGGCGATGGCCAAATTATCCTTGCCACATTTGTTTTCGAATTCAAGCATAACCATTATATATTGCTATTAGTGATACCTAATTACTGCCGGTACCTGCATACAACTATAACTTACAACCTGAAATTGTCCTATACTCAACTTACATAGTCATTACTCATCATAGGCCATTATGGCCATAGTCTATTGTGTAGGTTCACGAGAAAAAAATATAGGAAGGCACGGTTTTGGGGATGGATCCAAAAGCAGATGATATAATATAATATATACAATATGGTATTCACGTACACAACGACAAAGAGATGATCCGAATTGTCCGATGCAAGTCTGCGTACGCATTATTTCCACAATGGTGCTAATTGGTGCATGTGTGTGGTGTGTACAATGTTACTGTACTACTGTCCGTTTTATTTTGGAGGCGACCTGCAGCTAAATCCACTGCGTCCTTTATTTAATCCGATATATTAAACGTTATTGTCGTATAGGTAGTTGGTATTTTATACCTATATTGAAAATTGTTATGTATAGATGGTGCGTTACGTATTGTATAATAAGAATTGTGATCGACTGATCGCAACGAAATAATTGGTCAGATGGCAGTTGTACATAACACGAGACCGGAGACTTTATATAATATTTTATGTTATTATTTATTATTAAGTTTTTTCAGAGCATCATTTCGATTTCCTGCAGTGTTTCCCTCTTTCTGGTCCGTTTTATTTCCGAGACAGCACATAATAATTACGTGATTTTTATCGACTACACAATATATATTTACTATACAGTATACGACATATATTATATAACTATATAAGCGCTGTGTGGACTGAAAATTATAGATATAGGACATTGAACACAGTGTAATACGTACTTACATTAAACAGGGTGTCCCGCTGTATCAGTATCACCATATTTATCCCCGTCGACCGTCTGTAACTTTATTTCGAATTAATTAATAGGTAGTTTGTTTGAAAAATTATTATTCTATTCTATGAGCGTAGGTAGGTATACTAGTTGCCTCCTGGAGTTGAACGAATTTCTTCCCGTTTATATACCTACGAGTTGTCCCCTTAAATTGTATCGTAAACAAAAGTAATTTGTTGTACTAGTTGCTTCGTGGCCTGCAGGTGACTAATAAATGTACAAGTGGTTTTTAAAATCTTAAGACGGTTAAAAAATTGTGTAAATGTAAATATTTATGACTTTAATTAATATAATACCAAAATGTTTTTTTATTGACTAATAAATTTTAATATTATTTATATAATTAATGTGTATAATCTATGCCTACGGCTGGTATTTTTTAATTGTATACATATTTCTAAACTCGTAAAAAAGGTATTGAACAGTTACAATTTTAGTATGAAATTCTTAATAAACTAAAACATAACCAGGACGTTTAATATTATAAAAAGACAAGTATAAATGTATCTATAAGACTCGTGTTTATCATTACCTATTATATAATATTACCTATATTAAATATACGTTGCTTAATTTTTTATAATTTTAACACAATACATTATTATGTATAAAATGTACATAAATTCATCTATTTACTTAGTATACAATATAGTATCCTTGGTACTTAATTCAATATGGGAGGCAACCCGTAAATAATTACGATCTACTTGATGCAACTATAGTACCTATATACTACAGTATATTAACGAGGTGACAAGACGTTATTTAAACACCCTGTAAACAATATTGATACATGGGTAGAAAGTTTCACTTTGACAGACTCGTAAGGCAAAAAAAGGGAAGCACGCGCAATGGCGACGACCTATGAAACACAGCAGGTATATTATAGTAATAAGCGCCTCGTCGTCGTCGTTCGGTGGTCAGGTGGAAAAATAATGAGCTCTAATTTCCCAGTATATAACTGCAGTATGCGGACTCATTTCGTGTTTCGTCACAGGAAAAAAAACAAAAACATTTACCTTACACTATATAAATTGTCCCCGTAATGATATAATGATATATAATAATATTGTGAGTATAGTAATTACTAATTATAGCAAACACGTCGGCCGCGAGAAGCCCTAGCAATAGCTGGATACAATATTAGTATCTACCCACACGGCTGCAATACCTACTATTATAACCTGAGCTATTAATATTAATTGTAAGAAATTAATTGCAAAAATGGCCGACGCTCTTTATTATGTGTATATATATATAATACATAAGCAGTTGCAGATGTATATTAATATAGTGTTACAATACGACGACGGTTGTTCCGACTCATTACTGATTATTAATTAACGTTTAACAAAACAAAACATTATCGCAAGTGCAGCCGCGGCTTGTATAATAATATAGCCTTCAAAGCTATAACAATACACCGTATATACACCCACAATATAAGAGATGAAGAGGGTG